AAAATTTTATAATATTTATTTTATAATTTATAATAAACTTATTAAAAATTTTATAACTTGAAGTAAATTATAGTTGTTTAGTAAAATTAGTTGTAAAACTAACTAAAATTTGTTAAATTTTTTTTAAAATATTATAATTATTTCCTATGAGCATAAATTATTTAAAAAGTTAAAAGTAAAAATGGAAGAAAATAAATCAAATGTTATTTTTTTTGTTTCCCATCCAAGACTTGAACCCGTTGATAAACCAAATGATATTTGAAGTATCATAATATTTAAAAATTATAGTTTCACTTTCTTTTTTGTTCATTCAATATTTTTACTACTTCATTGATAAAAAGAAATTTTCAAGTTCAAAATTCTTAAATAAGTCACAAATTTTGTTAGCACCACATTAAAATTTTATTTTGAAGAAATGACTTTTAATAATCTTATGAGAAAATTGAAAATATAAACAATTATTTTCCTAAAAAAGTTTCCAAATATGCACAAAGTCTCATATTTGATAACTCGGTTTCAATTTGAGTTTTCATTAGTCTTCTCACGATGGGTACTTTTGAAATGCTATTTGAATTTGTAAGTTTTCCATGTTTTAGTTTCTTATCTTGGACTACAACTGGATTTTTTTTCTTCCTAAAAGTTAGATTAAAATAAAATAAAAAATCACACACGCATGCCTCTGTCGACCATCCTTTTCTCTCTCCGCCAACCTTAATAACAAAATATTCAACCCTTCTCAACTTATAATAAATACAAAATATTAAAAATTACGTTAATGATATATTAAAACCATAATTAAAAAAGAAATACTATTAATACACTCTTTAATTATTAAAAATTTCAAAAATTATATTCAACCCTTTTATTTTTTTACAGTTATTTTACAAAGTTTAACTGATAATTAAAAGTGTATAAGTTTTTTTGAAAATAAATTAACAAAAAACAGTATTAGTTTAACATTTAATTTTCCTGAATATATCTTGGTTAAAATTAATCAGCATTCTCTCCTACCCATCAATTGTTATGATAGGAGAAAGCTACTTTGATTCAAACCCCAAATCATTTTTCATTGAACACTTTGAAAGCTGATAGGAAACTGAGCCAATGTTGAAGGAAACCTACCCACCACACCAACTCATCTCTGTTGATTGTAATTTGGTGTTTTCATGACATGAATTAATCTTCTAACTCTATATTCGCCATTTTGTTCCTTTGTAATCTCTGGCTGATGCCATCAGAAGCATTTGTCTAACTGTCTTTACTCACATATTGGATACGATTTCCTCCTAATTGGTTCCCCAAAAAGCTGCCTCCTGATGGGACTTTTGTCTCACTAGCTGATCCAATCTCAATTGGAAGTACTTTTATGTTTGTTTTCAATTAGACAATTACCCCTTTAAAATAAAAATAAAAATAAAAATTTCTCTTTTTTCTTCCCTACTTTAACTTTTACCCTCTTTTCCATGAATTACTTATGTGATCCTTAATTCATTTAATTTCCAAGATGTTTTATTGAAATGGTCAAAGGGGTGCACAAAAAATGGTGTAAATGGTAATCGGAAACTAGAAACATAGCATAGTGGACAATACTTTTCTAGTTACTTGTGCTTTTTCCTTTCATAATTTGCATCACCTTCTTAATGCTGTTTCCCCTCAAGTGGTTGAAGGGACTCTCACATACTTAGCGTGTACTTGAAATTATGGTTAAAAGAAGGAGATGCAAACTCTAATTTTCATGTTTTTGCACCGCATTAAACGGAATTTCAAACACATGCTTACATATTGAAACAATGCTCATATATATTATAACTTCTCAATTACTCTTATCCTTTTTTATTTATTTATTTCCCTTTTAAAAATTATTTATCTATTACTTTTAAAAGTTTAAGGTAACATTAATTGATTTTTACCGATAATACCTCTTACTTCAAATAAAAAACAAGTAATTAATAAGAGAAATATAGGTATAACAAAAAAATAATTTATTTATTTCTTAATTTTTGTATAAAAACTTAAAGTAACAGATAAAAAAAATGGAAGGAGTATATTATTTTTATTATACTCTTTACTTATTTAATACCTGTTGTAGTGAAAAGAATAAAATTTATTTATTTTTATATTGTTTAAATGTTACTTAAAGACTATCTAAAGTGTATTTATATATATATATATATACTCATGCTCATCCCTTCTAAGATAAGTCAAGTGTGTAAAATGGAGTAACTTTCAGTAAAATAAATCGAATACTAATATAGGGTAATTTAAATTTTACTGCTGCTGTACATGTACCTTAGAAATTTTCATAAGCATAAGACTCATCCTTCGTACATTGTGGAGGGTGACATTAGCATTATTCTTATGAAGAAAAGCCAAAAAACACCATTGGGAAACCCTTTTCTGGCTCCAAGATAAAGGACAAATACCGTAATAATTTGGACCATTACTTAAGTAATTCAGAAATTCAAATTATAATATTAAGTAACATTTTTTTTTCAAAACAAAAATGTCACTATCTCCGAATGATTGTTTTAATCAAGTTGAATGTGTTGTTAAAAACTCATTTGGATCACTATTTTTTAGTGCTAGCTCTATTAGTGTTCAAAATTTTCATCTATGTACTTATTAGTATTTAAATGTCAGTTAAAGAAATAGTGTACACCGAAAATAAATTTTCATATAATTGATAAATAGTTGAAATAATATTTTTTAAGTACATGAATTAATTTCTTTATTTTTCAATATGTATACGAAAATGACTTTGTAAAAGAGATAAATTTAATTTTATGATCTTTGTATCTCAAAAAAATTCTCTTATTGTTGACTAAACTAAAATATAAAAAGTCATAATTTTTGTATTTCAAAATTCATTTAAATATTTATAGTGACTAGTAAAAATTGTCAATCTTTGTATTCGTTTGTCATAAAATAAATATTAATAACATTTAACCTTTCACTCTCTATTTGATGGATCTTTTTCTCAGTTTAGTAAATTCTACTTAAATTTTAATTAATAAATTTAAATAAGGCTTTAATACTGATTTTTCAATTTGGATTTTTTTCTAGTCTCAAAAATTATTTTTTATTTTCATCCAATTTTTTTATTATTAAATTTATTATTTTAATTCATATTTATTTACTTTAACATTCAAGTTCACTTATATAATTTGACTGATATGTAACATAAAAAAAAATTATTATTAATAATATATTTTTTATATTTTTGAATAAAATTTTAACTTAGAAAATTAAATTTTTTGAAATTAAGGTTTAAAAATATAAAATGAATGAAATTATAGATGTCATTTAATGTTCATTAATTCTACGTCGTATTATATAAATCAAGTTGAATATTATACAGGCACGTGAAAAGTACATTGTCATAATTTTTTAAATACTTTTATTTCTCAATTAGTATTATTAAGGTACTAATTAATATTAATTTTATTTCTATTTATTGTATAGAGAGAAAGAAAAAAATTATTCTTTTTTTTTATCAGTCTATACAGAAATTCAGGATAATAGTTTAGTTTGGATAATTTTTTTAATAAATTTTTATAAAATTATAAGAAATCAAATAACTTTTTAGAAGATCTTTCATATAAATTTTTCAACCACAAGAATAAGTTATTTTTAATTTTTTGAAAAATTATTTATTTTTATAATTATTTTATTTTTCTCTTAAAAAACTTAATTAAAATTGAGTGAATATCAATTATTATTCTTTCACCAATATTATTTTGGATGTATAAATATATATTTAAGAAAGTATTAACTTAAGTCTTTAAAGTTAAGTTTAAATATCTAATAATATTATATTTTTATTTTAAAAAATATTTATACTATTTGAATACTTCAAACATTAAAAACAAAAAATAATATATATATATATATATATATATATATATATATATGAGAAGGATATTTTATATTAGTGTAAATATACAAATTTTTACATTTGATTTAAGTTTTTTATTTAACTTACATCCAACAGTCAGTAATAAATTATAATTTATTATATGTAAGTTAAATGAAATATTTAAATTAAGTTTAAGAATTTTAGACTTAAATTAGTGTGAGAAGATTATGTTCTATATATAAACACACATAAACTTAATATTCTTAACTGAATTTTTTAAAATTTTTCTATAGCAGTTAAAAGTTTTTTTACAATATTATACTAAAATTATTCATAAATTAAAAAGAAGAAAAAAGACATTTAAAGAATGGCTTCCATGTCTAAGAATCTCCGTCCAAAACTAAATTTGCAAGAATACGTTTGACTTAATGAAATTAAAGGTGAAATATGTTGTTTCGTATTTCGCGTGTATTCTATTTAAAATATGCCAGAAAGAAACCCATAATAAATAGGGTCGACGTAAATCCACAATTAAATAATAAAACTAAGCTATTAAAACTCAATCCCAAAAATACAACATGATTGGTGAATAACTATTTTAAAATTATTTTCTAAAAAGTCAACTATTTTTATCTTAAAATAAATTAATCAAATTATAATAAAAATTATCCTTACTCAAAATATATTTCAATATTTGCTATATTTTTAACTAAAGTATAGCAAACTGCATGAATTAATATCTAATAAAGATCATCTTTAGCACGGCATGCATGTTGCTAATCTGCATGAGTTATGTATGGATGAGAGAGACAGACCCTCTCCCTATCAGTATAAAAAATTTGTTTAGTAATATATTTTTTTTAACTTTAAAAAAATAAGAAATAAAAAATTGCTAAAATTATAATATTTGATATTATTCATGTATTAAATTTTATGATATCATGTTACTTCTAATAAAAATTTATTATACATAGATTTTTCTTATGTATCTTTAAATACATGTTAAAAAATTATCTAGTAAATTTTACGATTTTTAAAATTTTTAATAAATTTTAATACATAAGTGTATTAAAAATAACCCATGAGAGGGTCCCTGTCGTAGCACCCCTCATCTATATAATACACCAAGTTTTCTGATTCTCCAATAAGCGGTCTTGGCTTTTCCTTCATCCTCTCTCTCAAACTTATATATCTCTCTGTTTTCCTCTGCAGCAACCCTGCCTCAAACATACCTATTATCATTATTACTATTATAAACTAAATTTGCATTATTAATTCAATGGCCATAGAGTGCATTACAAGTATACAATCCATGCCTCAACCACAAAAGCACCACCAAGAAGATGAATCACCATTGGTTTTTGACGCCTCAATTTTGAGGCACCAACTCCATCTTCCAACACAGTTCATTTGGCCTGATGAAGAGAAGCCATGCATGAATGTGCCTGAACTTGTTGTCCCTCTCATTGACTTGGGAGGCTTCCTCTCCGGCGACCCAATTATGACCATGGAAGCCGCAAGGCTCGTCGGAGAGGCATGCCGAAACCACGGTTTCTTTCTAGTTGTGAACCATGGGATTGATGCCAAGTTGATCTCCCATGCTCATAGTTACATGGATGAGTTTTTTGAGACTCCCCTGTCTCAGAAACAGAGGGCTCAGAGGAAAACAGGGGAACACTGTGGTTATGCTAGTAGCTTCACTGGCAGGTTCTCCTCCAAGCTTCCATGGAAAGAGACACTTTCTTTTCAGCATTCAGCTGAGAAAAACTCATCCACAATTGTCAAAGACTACTTGTGCAACACATTGGGAAAAGAGTTTGAGCAATTTGGGTAATTACAACATGTCAACTTTTTTCAATAAATATAATAATATATTTGTTGGGAAAGATATTCATTCTATCAGGTTTCATTTCATTTGCTTTTCCTCCAAGCTAAATTGTGTTTGTTTCCATGTCAAACAGGAAGGTTTACCAGGACTATTGTGATTCCATGAGCACTCTTTCTTTAGGGATAATGGAACTTCTTGGAATGAGTCTTGGAGTTGGCAAAGTTTTCAGAGAGATTTTTGAAGAGAATAGTTCAATAATGAGGCTCAATTACTACCCTCCTTGTCAAAAGCCCGACCTCACTTTAGGCACTGGACCTCACTGTGATCCAACATCTTTAACAATTCTTCACCAGGACCAAGTGGGTGGTTTACAAGTTTTTGTTGACAATGAGTGGCATTCCATTAGCCCAAATTTCAATGCTTTTGTTGTCAACATAGGTGACACCTTCATGGTATGTTAACAAATCTTTCATTCACCTTTTTTTACCAAACAATGAGATTTAATTTTGGTCAATGGTTTATTTCTTGTGTGATGTTATTCAACCAACCTGGTTTCACTTTCTATTGTTTTAGGCTCTTTCAAATGGGAGGTACAAAAGTTGCTTGCATAGGGCAGTGGTGAACAACAAGACAACAAGAAAATCTCTTGCTTTCTTTTTGTGTCCAAAAAGTGATAAGGTGGTAAGTCCACCTAGTGAATTGGTGGATGATTTGACCCCAAGGGTATACCCAGATTTTACATGGCCTATGCTGCTTGAGTTTACTCAGAAACACTATAGAGCCGACATGAAAACCCTTGAGGCATTCACCAACTGGCTTCAACAGAAAAGGAGCTGAAATTTGAAGCACATGAATGGCATATTATTAGCCTTTGATAATCTCATATGAATAGTGACAAATCATGTGGAGGTGTAAGTAATGGTGGAAAGCACTTAAAGGAGAAAAAAAGGGCAGCAATGGCACTGAGATTCAAATTTGAAAGAAGAATCATATTTTCTTCTTGATATGAGTGTTGCACACTAGTGATGTGTAATGAACAAAACAAGGAAGATGAAATTTTTATAAGGAATCAAGAAAAATTCGTCAGCTAATTTTGTAATACTTCTTTGGTGATATAGAAAAGTTATTATTAAATCCTCCATATTTTATATCCTCGTTTAATGTGCATAATAACATATGCTATGGTAAAATCCGAACAAATTTTCTCCATGGAATAGGAACCTTTAAAATGAGTGTAATAACTTTTGTTATTGAATGACCCCATACTTTTTAAGATTCTGAAAAGTGCTTGATACCGTGTGTCTAATCCCAGTAACACTCAAAAAGCAGATATTTTACTCACTTTTCCTCATTCCTTCCATCAAATTTTATTGTGTCCTTGTACCATTAAACAACAACAACTATTGTCGCCTATTCATTGGCATGATACAAGTTAAAACCATTCCATAAGACTATTTAGAGAATTATTTCAGATTAAAACCTTAACTTTTATTTACTTATTAATAGTATCAAGTAAGTTTTTATTAAAAATTATAATATTTAATGGTACCAATGGGTTTAATTATATTAAAATTTGTAATTTGAATAAAATCAATTGTATGCTTTTCATTTGCACTTGTTAAAAAACTACTTTTATGAATACTTCTATTGCATTATTTGTTCGTCAAAAAAAAAGGTAAAAAACAAAAGCTAAACTCATGCTCCATGCATTCATTTTGCTTGAAAAAGAGAACTAATAGAACAACTCCTATGTAAATAATTACAAAACAGTTTCTATGTAATCCTTCACTAACTCAAATCACATACTAGTTGGAAGGAAAACAATTGCACAATAACTGAGATTTCACATTTTAGAACCTACACACATTTCTTGTTTTGAATGTCTAGATTCCTTTTTTCTTTTATAAAGGTCCTGTTGTTTGACTCATTTAGTGAAAACGGAGCATAACACCTAATGAATCCAAATTACTAAATAAATTAATTAACATAATGATATGCAACACCATAAATTAGTTAATTACAACTCTCATTCATCAACCAATAATCTTTCATTATCTTGAAGGTCTTTAAAAGTTGGAACTACATGAGAGTAAGGTTAAAAACCAGCAAATACATCCAATAAAAAAAATGGCCCACAATTTGAATGATTCGGGGGAATAGGGAGCTAAAATCCATTGAGGATTGGCATAGATCTCTTTTGTAATTTATGAATATATATATACATATATATATATATATATATATATATATATTCTGCAACTTCAAGCACTTGTTTTTTGGTTTTATTATCCTGATTTTTCATACCTGGAAATTTGGAGGTTTGTGTAATTTAGAATGCAAGGGAATACTCACTACAATCCTCTTAGCACCTGTCTTGAGATGCTGCAACATTCTTCTCATCATATTTTAATCATTATCCTTAAAAATAAAATAAAATGAGAATGTAAATGCAAAACAAAGATTATAAATAAAGGGATCTCTCGAGTCCCCCTCCCTATTATAATTACTGTAAGTTAATTTAATTCAAGTTGCAACTGTGCAAATTTTGTTATCATTTCCATTGCTTTCCTTATAACCAAACACGGTTTTGGGTGTTGGGTACAATACAAATTGTGGCAGCAAAAGTTACTGCAAATATAATTTCTTTTACACCCCAAGCACTCAACTTGAAAGGATATGTTAAATTGAAACAATTTCTTATAAGTTGATTGATATATTCGATAGTTTCTAATACTAATGATGATAATATTGTATTTAAAATATTTAAATATGAGATTTATAATTAATTTTATTTTAACTTCCAAATTTTATGGAAATGTGTTGGGACTATTTGATTCATTGGCAATCTGATGCGGCCAAATGGCAGATAAATCGATAGAATTAGAACTACATGCGAGAGTGAGACATTTAAGAATGTCCATATATTCTTTCAATGATGTATATCCATTTTATCTTGATGATATTCCATAGACCAAAAATACTCAAGAAAATGACACATCATACAGAATGAAAATGATCGTGAAGCAAATTTAATTTACAAGAGCTCACTTTCCAAAATAAAAAATGATTTTTAATTTGATTTAAATAAAATTGAAAAGAGTAAAGAAGAAGAGAGGTGGGTTTGATGAAAGTTGATTTGGGGCACAGCCGCCACAAGTAAGGACAAGGACAGTCCCATTCCCGTACTCTCTTCCAAAAGGGCAGCATCACGTGGAAACCATCTGTTGTTTCTTCTGCCATCATCGCTTCTAAATTAAATCTTCATCTTTTCATAAACTAAACCTTTCTGCATGCATTTGCAAGATGCAACACTTCTTAGGATTTCTCTCTCTGTCACAGATACCCTTCCTTCCCTCTCCCATCTGTACCATCTTGTTTTCTAGCTCCCTCCTCTCCTCTCACTTCTTAGCCATCACACATTTTTAATTATATCATCGCTCTCTGTAACTTCTACCCACTCCTTTTGTCATCTATCAGCTTAAGAACTCTGTTTCAGTGTCTTTCATGCACTTGTCACAATGTGCATAATCAATTCTCCAGTATTGTAAAAATATTTCCTTTCCTATTCGATTATCTATTCTTATGTTAATAATAATTAATATAAAATGACACTATAAAACTATTTACGCTGATATTAAGTTTCTAAGATTTAATAGTTAACTTCTGAGTACATCAATAGGCGTAAAATCCACCGTGCAGGACCTTTATAATTCCATCCAATAAATTCCATGCTTCAAAATCATGTGCTTTTCTCTTGTTGTATCTGATCCATGCACTTCTCAGAGAGTAATAAATACATAGGAATTGGAATTCATTTTTTTAATTGTACTTAAATGCATTGTTTTTGGAACTATATGTATGCTGATTTAAAGTATATGATTAAGATTCCATTTTAAAATTCAAGAGTTTGGAAAGGGACAAAATTTGAACACATTTTCATATGTGATAATGTTTTTGTTCTTTAATAAAAGAATTAATTGTACGCTTCTCTTTTAGAAAAGATTTAAATTACTTGTCCTGTTATCTACCTTAAAAAGAAATACATCGTTATTATTTATTAAGATCAATGTATACTATATTTTATTCTGCGTTTGCTTTAATGTAAATGAACATCTTAAAAAATCATATTTCACTTTACTTAGTTTTATCAACTTCATCACAGCTAGTTATAAACCGGAATCTATTAATGAATTTTAAATTTTAGAATCATATAAATAAAATTTAAAACTAGTTTTTAAAGTTAATACTAAAAGTGTTTAAAACTTTATTTCATCTTCTGAAATCATAATAGGAATATTCATAATTAAGTTCCGATTAGGTTAAAACTTATTGAGTGAGGGAAAAGCCAAAATATAGTTACTTACTCCTATTAATAGGTATATATATTACCCTAAAATAAATTAAACTATAAATGATTTTATTAGTTTAATTTTTAATATTTGAGAGAGAACATATCTTTTTTTTTTTTTGGGGGGGGGGGAGGGGAATATAATTGTTTCTTTTAAAATAAAAAAGATATATATTATTTTTTACTAAATTCAAGTAGAGGAACTTTAAGGAGGATAAAATTATTTTATTTTATTTTGGTATTAACATGAAATTTCCCCTTTGAAAATTAATCACTTTTATACTTAGAATTACACCCCCATGCGGTTCAATTATCAGTTGAAAGGGATTAAGAGTAAATTTTAATTATTAAATATTTTATAGTTAAAAGTTACAACATAAGATTATATGATTTTTTTAAAAATCATTGTGTGGTCTTTTATATATCTTTGATCATTTATGCATGTTTAATTAACAAAATATATTCTTCTATTCTTTCACAAATAATTATTATTCTCACTAAATACAAATTCTACATTGAATACTGTATAGAAAAAGTTAAGTCCTATGTCATCCTATTTATATTCTTAAATAATTTATTACACTTACTATCTTCGTGTCAATGAGTATAAGGGAAACCAATTCAGCTGACCTAACAGGCTTTGACTCAATTAATTCCTTTTTTGTTGATTCTTTAAGATTTAAGTTTAATTTTAGGACCACTCGATAGTAGGCGATAAATAATTTTATCATATTTTTTTTAAAAGTTGTTAAAGTCTATTTGAAAACAAGTTGCCACCATGTTCTAACTACAGTTCAAAAGAGTTGAAAATGTTTCCTTCAATAAAATTTAATTTTTGGTATCTTAAAAAGTGTATAACGAAGATTCAGCATCTCTTAAGTTATAAAACAGGTAGTTAAACCGATCCTTCCATTTTCATTCATATTCGTAGCCATTTGAAGTGGCACAAAAATGGTAACGAGTCTCGATCTTGTGCTTTAGCCTCAATTTTGCTTCCACACATCAATGCCTTTTTTTTTGTATGTATATGTTTATTAATTTTTTATTATCTACACAAAAGGACAAACTTTGTTTGTTTTTATTGATAATTGTGTTATTATTTATTGGAAGAAGATATTGTACAAAAAAAAAAAAAAAACTAAATCAACAATAACAACTGTAATAGACACAATTTAAACTACACCATGCAAAATGACAATCTCAATCTCATTGAATCTCAAAAAATTATCTTTATCAGCTAGCTAGAGCTCTAGGGATACTGCATATTTGTTGCAGCAGCTGTTGATTGAAATATATGTTTTTGTCTTATCTGATAATTTCCATTGCATGCAAACGACAAAAGTTCAATAATTTTTCCTATGCATCGAGCTAGTAAATAAAATATATATAGATTTGGGCATGGAAAATTGGACTATCACTGCAACCTCCTCCCCGTGTTGATTGTTGTGATTGATAATTGTAGTTTAATTTGATTTGATTAATAGACACAACATGGTATAATTATATTTTAATAAGCCAACATCACTTACAAGATTAGCTCATTCTTGCATTGCTAAGTTGGCCATTTGGGCACCATTTAGACCACAAAACGACAGAAAAAGGCATGATCTGATCAAGCTTTTCCCCACCAAAATAAAATAATTAAAAGCAGTTTTATACCATTTTTAACTTGAAATATCATTCCATAATTACGTGCCAGGATGTCCAACATGCATAACGGTTTAATCAAACGCACAAAATCTTATTTCTTCTATGGTGTTGTCGTTTCTTTTGTTAGATTGTGTGGAAGGAGATTGAAATGTGCAGTAGAAGAAAAAAAATGCCCTCCTTAATAAGATTTCTATTCGTAAAAAATGGCTTAAGAATTAGGAATTGCCACGTAATTGAGGATATACATCCTCTCAAGATAATAGTATAAAAATCGTGTGGGTAAGCTTGCAAGAATGGCTTCCATTCGTTGCTTTTGTTTCTTTTCTTGTTCTGATTTTTGTTCAGACAAATGGAAATTGACTACACGAAAAAGATAGAAGTATAAACCTATCCCTTGTGACGCGTATATCTATAAAAAAATAATAAAACGTGTAAAGTTTGTATTTAATTTTTATTTTTTTTACAAGAAATGACACACCAAAATTGGTTTTTAAAAAGCAAAAATTCTTGCACTTTTCTAAACTCTATTTTGTTTTAAGCAAATGATTACTGTTAAAAAAATAAAATATATAGTGAAAGGAGTCTTTTCATAGAGTTGTGAATGATCATATATAAATGCTCATAATTATAAATTTTGAAAAGTCACATAATCATTAAAAAAAAAATACATATGACTTGTATGTTTTAATTTTAAAAATTTATGATAAAATTTAATAATAAAATTTTTTTCTTTCATTTTCGCTTAAAAAAATTTACATCGATACGTATATAATGACATAATCAAATTTCTTAACCATTGATTAACAAGACATTTTATTTTGAATATATGTAATATTTAATCTCAAGCATTTATACTCCACAACTTCGTTAATCAAGTAGTTAGCACTTCGGATACTATTTTTTAGTGTCTATTATTTTATACTCTCCCAATTTCAAATTAAGCAAGTGATATTTTAAAATTTTAATGAAGCATTATCATTTTGATTCTAATTTAACTCAAATAAATAATAAATGTAATCAACTTTTCAATAAACAGTAAGGATAAGTAAAAATTCCTTACTAATTAAAATGTTTATATCGTTCTTTAACCTTGTAATCTACTTTTTATATTAAATGTAATTTTTCTAAATAAAATAATTTTTATGAACTATTTTTTTTATCATGCCATGCGACTTCTTTTGCATTTAATATATATATATTTTAATTTTTGAAATTTTGATAATTTATTTTAAATTATAAAAATATTCTCTCTTTAATTTAGTCTTCTTTAATAAACAAAATATTGGTTATTAATAAAAAGTAATTTGTTTAAAATTTATGAAATTAACTAAATTTAAAAATAATCATAAAATATATATAGTCTTGTGTATCTGGGTGAGCTTAATAAGAAAAGGTCAAATACAGTTCAAAGAATAGAAGACTCAAATCCCCACTTTTCTCAAGGAAGACATGTGTAAGTTAAGGTCTTTCCAGAAAAGAATGAAGAAAAAATAATGGGCCTAACCATTTTCTCTATTTTTGGGAAATACTTAATTTTGATCCTTTTTGGGCTCTACAGGTCCTTTCCAATGGGCATAGAGGAGTATCTAGTGGTCGCAGAGGGTAAAATCCAATCACTGGGTCTCAATCACAATTCTAATAACCAAAACCTTTTTGACTGAGGCAAATATTCAAGAGTTTTAAAAGCAGCTTCCAAAGAGTAGCTTATAAACACTTATATCTAAAACCTCTAAGGTGTGTCCATTAAGAACAAATGGTATATTTAATGATGTTGCAAACTTAAAGGACTATCCAACGGACATTCAACCCAAAAATAACAAATTTCTATTTCTCACTGAATTATAAGACTTTATGACCTGTGTCAATGTACACCACTCGCTCTAAATGTTAAATTAGAGCTTGACAGTGATTATTTTGATATTTTAGAAAACAAAAAAGAGACAAAAGTTAGTGATGAATCATGTTGAGACGACGCATTTATTAATCTCCAACATGTTTTAAGCTTTTTATTAACACTAAAAAGACAAGTTGGTGATGAAATTAGTGATGAATTTGGTCCACGCTGAAGACTTTTCAACTCGATCTAATGTATATGACAATTTTCACCCATTTCATTACAAATGTTACTTGCATGTATGTAACAGTTTTCAAATAAAAAAAAAACATGAAAACCTCAAAGAGTAGTACTTCATCACAGGCTCCATGTGCAAGAGATAGATGCTCTGAAAGACAGCACGTAATAAACTAACTATACAACATTAATCATACAATTATGCAATTTTGATATCTTTACAATGTCTACACAGTGAACACGTGATTCTGTGCCAATAATAATGCTAATTTATGAGTATATTGTGTAAGGCACTATTCGATCGTCCGTCAATAAATCAAGAAATCAACACCCATTCAACTTCACTTATGGATAAGAAGTACTAATACTCTTTCGGTCTAATCTCAGATGAGGGGTATCATCACCCTTCTGCCTCACCATCCCTTCGATCTCAGCTCTGGATGAGAGGTACCAACACCCTTTCGGCCTCACTTTTGGACGAAAGGTACCAACATTCCTTCGACTTCACTATCCCTTTGATCATATCAAAATAAATTAATAAGGTAATTAAGGTAAATAATCAATAAAAAAAGGTTAATTATCCAAGCAGTCAGAAGGTTAATCTAGGGTTGACTCATTAAGTTCATTAGTCCAATATTATGCCTATAAAAGGAAAGTACGAAAGACAAGTAAAAGAGGAACTTCAGAATATTTAATAGCATTTATTATTCTATACCGAATACTTATTTGAGAGTGCTATTGCAGGTACCCTTCCCTAACAGATAAAGAGAATCTAAAATATTTTACGAGAACGTCACAACATTACGCGAGGACAGAAGTTATAGTGAACAAGTGTATTCTTACAGGAATAATGACTATATGCTCTAACTTCAAATAAAAACCAAGCTTTAGTTTGTTTCAAGACATCAAAAATTATATTTTCTCCGCTTGTTTATATTTAATATTGTTTTATCTGCTTGAAATGATGATCGAATTAGACACATGGTTTACTTATGGATTAATTATCAATTATTTTTTTTTAAAAAAATTATTATTTACTAATTGATAAACAAAAGTTATGAAATATAAAATAATTATATTTAAGTAAAAGTTAATCCAATGTTAAATTATAAATAAATTAATGACATTTTTTAATGCCTTGAGATAGCACCACGTTTAAGATACCTGTAAATAAAATGCACTTTAGACTTCTTAATTAATTGATGAGCAGCTAGACTAGTTTCTCCGATTTTATTAATTAAAATTTATGCCGTTAACAATTATGGAGAGTTTTTAATCACTTGTGATGCAAACGCACTTTTGTTTGTGGGTGAAGTTGACAAAGATAGAAGTTAGAAGATATTTTGAGGATGATTAATTGAATAATTGCAAATGGACAATTTAATTAAGAAACCATGCATGTTTCACGTGATTAATATCTTAATCATTTTGACTGTTGCTTCTCTTTTGGACTTTTGCCTTACTTTACTTCCGAAAGCTCTTACGTAATCTATAAACAAAATGCCTCTTGATATTATCTTAATCATATACATAATTAAAAACTTGAACAATTATTGGTTTATTATTTTATAATCCACATTAACTTTTTTACATATTATATTATATGTTAAAACAAAGTTATTCAACAGGATTTTTAAATTTTATTAGTTTAATTTGACAAAATTTTAATCCAACAATTATAAAACTTAATGTTCCAAAAAACAAAAGTTTTGGGCGGTGTGTAACCCGTAGAATTTGTGGCGATTTTATAGAGTTTTTCGCAAAAATATACTTTTTTTAAAGAGGGGTGTAAAGTTATATTAAATATCAATTTACATGGATTTCATCATACATGGTTTATAATTTTAAAGAATTTTCGTGACAAAATTTGGTACAAAATAGCATCAGTAATTTCTTTTTGGCACTTATAAGTGCTACAAAATTTAATATTTTGGATTTGGTCGGTGACGAGGCTTTTGCAATAGACTTTTTGCTAGAGCTCAATTAATATATGTGCACTCTGGGCCTCTGGCTTCTTTTGGGTCAAACCAGGCCCAAGTTATACACGGTCCAGAATAGCCTATTAATTTCTATCTTAACCCAATATATCTTCATCGTTCTCTTTAAGTGTCTTTGTAATATCAATGCTTCAACTTTGGGCCTTTAGGTTTTTCTGCCTCCTGTGACTTGGTTACATTTACGTATTGAGCAAAAACAACATAAGCGAAAGATTGAAACAACCCCGAAAAATAAAATACCCTTTTTTTTTTTTTCTATTTATAATCTTTTTAGTTTTTTTTAAATTTATTTTCACAAATATCGTTATTAATATTGGAGTTAAATATTTTTAAGTTAATATAGTTAATATTTTTTATCAGTTTCCTTTAACTATCTTTTTCATTCAACACCAGATGAAGAGCAACATAAAAGTAGAGCAACTGCAAAATGGGTAAGAGAAAGATAACACTGTGGTAACTTGAGAAATTTTTTCATAATCTCAGACAATTTGTAACAAACTGATTTTAAAACTCATAATTAAAATTTAGAAAAAGAAAGGTAACATAATTTAGAATAATTATTGATAGCATTAAGCATGGGAGGAGTAAACAAAATCTTTGAGTACCCGAAGGAGTCGTTTTTCTTTGGAGGGATCAGAATGCTCAACTCCATGATACCCTTCTTCATCAAAATCACACACCACTTTCACCCCTTTCTCCTTCAACAACGCCACCAACTCCTTCGCACGATCCACCATTGGGTCACCCTCGTTCGCACTCACCAACACCCTCCATCCAAGTTCCTTCACCATCTCCAGTTTCTCACTCCCACCCTTCACATTACAATACTCGTGCTCTTTCCCCACGCCACGTGGCAGCGCCAACTCCCAAAGCATATCCGTTACACACAACGGCAAATTCGCATCATTTTCAAGCCTCAACTCCGATTCAGTCCTCTCGCTCCCACCGAAAAACGGTTGCCGCACTATCAACCCTTTTATCTTAAGCGGCTCCAGATCACGCGCTTTCTCCGCTGCACGTAGACCGGCGAAGTACGCAATCGTCGCTCCTGCACTGTTTCCCATCAGAAAACAGCTAGAATAATCCACGTGTCGTGTCAACCACTCCTCGTCGCTCGTTCGGATCCACGCCAGCGCTTCGGTCGCATCGTCGTACGCCGCCGGTAAGCGATGCTCCGGGGCCAGGCGGTAATCGACGGAGGCGACGACGGCGTTGACGGTTTCGGCAATATGGACGCAGAGGTCGTGGAACATGGTGGAGGAGGCGCTGGCTACGATGAAACCGCTACCGTGGAAGAAAACAATGAGTGGGAGTTTGTTGGGGTTTGAGGATAGTGCTGTTCGGGGTAGGAATAAGCGAAGCCAGGTTTTGTTGGAGGGGTTTATCGTGAGGTCTTTGGTGAGAACACTGGTGCCTAAGGAGGGTGCTGTGTTTGGGATGTTGCGCAAGCGCGTGAGGGTGCCGTCGGGGTTTAGAACGAGGCCGACGTGGCGGTAGGGATCGTTGATGTTGGACGGTGAAGTTGTTTCGTTGGACATAGTGGAATTGGAATTTGGGGGTTTGTGTTTGATTTAGGTTAAAAGGATGAAGATGAAGGTGTGGCGTGGGGCAGTATTATAAAGGAGTTTGGAATGAACATCAACTTGTTGTCTTGTTTGTAATTCTTGCTGCAATACAAATTGAAATTTCCATTCATTTGCGTGGGTTCCACGGTTTCAAACTCGGCAACTTTGAAGATCGTAAGAGTATATTATCATTTTTATTTCAGTTATTTTTCATTAAAATGTTTTTCATTATTATATTAGTAATCCGTTTCATTTTATTTATACTAAATAATCATTAATATTTTTATGTAAATTATGAAAAATAAAAATTTAGCTTTAGATTTATTAATTGACATGTCTTTTATACTTTTATTCATTTTACAATTTATACTTATAAAAAATATTCGTTTTTTATTATTTATACAAGTTAATATCTCAATTTCCAATTTAACTTGTTAATATAAGTATTTTTAAAATAAAATAAAGTGTAATTTTATAACATAACTGCAGGTATTTTTTTTATATGGGAAAAAAATAAAAAACTATTCAAATATGATATTTTAGAAAAAAATTGTAAAAATAAGAAATTTTTTCAAAAATTTTTATTAAAAATTTTTAATCAATTTTTTTTATTTTTTTCAAAAATTATGGCAATTTTTTATTTTTAATAATTTTTAAAAAAATCACCAGTGTTAATTCTCAAAATTTAATAACTTTCGGTGATGATTTTTAAATATTTTTCTTTCATAATTTTTTAAAATTATTATATTTTAATATATATATTTTCAAATCCATATAAAAAATTATTCTGATAACTTCTTTATTTTGGTAAAAGTATTAAATATACGTATTATTAATGAGTTGTTAGGAAGCTGCGGAGTTGTGTGGGAGTATTCGGGAAGAAAATGACAACAGCTGATTATTGGGACTTTTTTATTTTAATAATATTAATTTAAAAATTAATTTCTGAAATAAATATAATTTAAAATTAATTTTATGTTAGGTGTTTTTTTTTTTCCAATTCAGCACTAATTTTTACTTTGACCACTAATATTACTATTTATTATTGAGCTCCCTTATCGATATATTGAATTCTCTGTTGTGATAATATATTAAAATAATAATAAAATTATAATATTGTCCATGCATGTGAGACTAATGCTGTGTTTGAAAAAAAAATATATTAAATAAGGAATTAGTTTTAAATTATATCTATTTTAAAAAATTAGTTTTTAAATTAGTTTTATTAAAATAAAAAAACCGATTATTGGATCAGAAGTTTGCTTGAAATGGATGCCAACTAAATCAAAGGGACAAAAGAGGATCAGTATGACCCAAAAACACGTGACATGAATTTATCTTTAGTTCACGTCATTATCTTTTTGTGAATTAGTAATATATCGTCTTATTTTTAATTTTCATCGGTTTTATTTTCTTTTACTTCCCATTCAAAAGTGCAATTTTAATCTTAAATTTTAAGGGTTTATATTTAATTTTTTTAATTTTTTCAAAGAACAATTTTATTTTCTTTAATTTTAATTTTTTATATTTAATATCTTGAATTTTTTTTAATGTGTCTTTTTCTTTTTTATATTTTTCTAAATATATAATTTTAGTTCATCTAATATTAATTGCCTATGTTTAGTCCCTTAAGTTTTTTTAAACATGTAATTTTGATCTATTTATTTTTAATTATCAATATTTAGTGCTTTAATTTTTTAAATGTTTAAGTTAAATTTTCTATTACAAAATTTTATTTAAGTTAATAAAAATATAATTAAAGTATGATATTTTATTAATGTTAAAATAAACAAGTATATAAAATATTTAAATAAAATATTTAAAATATAATAAAAAGTCTTAATGAAAAACTTAATTTAAATATTTAAATAATTATATAGATTAAATGTGAAGAATTAAATTTAGAAGAACTAAAATCGCATATTTAAAAACTTCAAGGACTAAACACGAGTAATTAAATTAAAAATACTAAAATTATAGATTCTAAAAATTTAAGAGACTAAATATGAGTAATTAAAACTATAGACTAAAATTGCGTATTTAAAAATTGTACATCATACGTTCAAAAATAAGGAATAAAATGACAATTAATTCATTATAATACAATTAAAGACGATTGATAAAACAAGCCTTGTTAGTTAGTCTTTTATGGACATGAGTGAACATTTAAAAGTAATTTTTTATTCTAAATTATGTTAAAATGTATTAAAAAGCATTAAAGAAGATGTGTTAATAATATATTTTTAAAAAAAATTATTGTAATTTTTTATTCAAATCTTTATTTCTTTAACGTGACATGTGATATTTTAAACATTTTATATTGAATTTTTCTTGTGTGGTTTTTTTGGTCAATTTGGATTTTCACTCTAAGCATCCGAGGCTCTATTTTCGCTTGTATGCATAAAAAACGATTAAGGCATTAATTATTTTTGTGTTTAGTTAGCAAGTTGGCTAAGTCAATCCATTAGAAGCCTTAATGATTTTGGGTATACAAGTGATTGGGGCAGAGGAGATTGAAAGTAAGGACAAGTTTACGATAGTGAAACATTATGCTTTAAATACTTGAGAGATTGAATACAATACTTTATTCGGTGAGTGGTTTGAGGTTAAGTTCAACAAAAAACATCTATCATATCCATGCTTTGAAGGTGCATTGGTTTTCACTCTCTCAACATGATTTGGATTTGAATGCAATGGTTTTGGATATATGAAAAGGAAAACGTATTATTAGCTTCATTTGCTTGTTGAATTAAATTAATATTTTTGTTTGATTGAAGACGAACAAAATTTAGAGTTTGGAGTGGTGATAATTCTATATTTAGTTTATTTCTTAAAGAGCAAATTTTCATCACCTTTTATAAATAATGAAATTTGTTAAAAAAATCATAATCATTGTGTATTGAGTCTGTAACCTTAAGAATAATTAAATATCATAAAAAAACAAATTTGTAGGTATATATAATGCATCTTAATGGGTGTATTTGGTGTTCAAAGAAGAAATTAAGAGCATGGAAGAAAGAATTGAACGCCTTAAATCTTTTTACCGGGCGAAACTACGACGGAAAATTAATGTATCTATATTTATAATAACTAGAAGTTTCTTCTTATCAAAATTTTGTTGCATTACCAAAGTAACCAGCTCTTTGAAAAAGTTGATTATGGTATGCAAGCAAAATTACAACAAAAATTTACTGGATTTACAGACAAAGTGTTGAAATATAAAATATATTCTTAATTGATTTCAACGATTTTGTAGTGTGAAACTTAGATCTGTAAAAATATTTCTCTAATGTTAGAACTTAGAATTTGTGAAAGCAATATTAAAGAGCACCTATCTAATCATGAACTCATTCAATCTTCTTCTTTTTTATCCTTTTTTCCCTCCTATTGTATGTCTAAATCGCTTGTGTTAAGGAATGAAGAATCCTAACTCAAATTATAGTTTTGTAATTCATGTTGATGTGCCCATTGATTGTTTTTTGCTCTATATATGCTTCTATGAATTGGTTGCTCATGGAAGATATTTGGTCACTAATTATGATTGAAGATTTAAATTAGAGAATAAGAAAGGAATAAGCAATATAACTTATGATGCTCTAGGAAAAAATTGTTAATAATGAAATATTTTAGATTCTTGATGCTAATGCTTTCTTTAAAAAAATTAAGGTCCATAATAATGAGAATGAGTTCTTCTGAAAAATTGAGATTTTACTAATTAATAATTTTTATCGTTGATTATTTAAATTTGAAATGAGTTCAAACCCAATGTAGTTATAACTATGTTATTCACGATATTGAAGTTTGTGTTTTAATTGATTGGTTGTCTCTCTCTTTTTCTTTTTCTTTTTATGTTTCTATAAATTCATCACTCGATTGATTTTAAACTTCGAGTTGTGATTGGAAATTTAAATTAGGAATTAAAAAGAAAATAAGCAACATTAACTCTGAAAAAAGAGATTGTTATTGTGAGATCTTTTAAATTTTTTTATGCTAGTGCTATTCTTAATTAAGAACATTTTAAGAATAAAGTTCATAATACGGTTGTGAATGATTATAACAAAGAATTGAGTTTTTAGTTATTATGAATTCAATCTTCTATTATTTCATTTTGGTTACTTAAATAAGGTTAAGTGAATTTATACTACCATAATTTTTTATGCACTGTAAAATTCTTTGCTCCATTATTTTGAATATTTTTTCTTATAATTCTCTTTAATTCAATTTAGTTATTTTAATTTTTAATAATAATAAACTTTCCCTTTTTACTCTCACACTTTTTTTCATCGCGAAGCAAGCAAATCAGTCATAATATTTGATATTTTTCATTTTAGAATACATATGCGAACTAAATACCCATACACATAAATAAACTGAAGAATTAATTATATGTTAAGTTAGACATATAAAATATTTTATTAAGTCATACTAGTCCATTATTAAGTATGTTACTATGTTCATATATAGACATGTTCAAATGAAATAAGAACTCAACAAAAATAACAGTTAATTATCAAATAATTTAAACAACCGAACAAGAACAGACGAAAAAATTAGATGGAGGGTGAAAATAATAACATACTAACAATCTAACACAAAATTTAAGTGCAATATCAATGTATTTTTATATTATTTTTAATTAAAATTAAAATGCTGTATTAGAAACTTACCACGGCATTAAAAATAACATTTTACTGAAATGGATTTATTCAATTTTTAAAATAAAACAACCTTAAAAAACACTTGTAAATGACACTTAAATTTGGTGAAACTATTTAACGCTCAAGCTTGCTTTTGGTTGTTAATGAAAACTTTGACTAACTCACTGAGCTGCTTTCCCTTGAATGGATCAAAAATTTCTACCCCATGGGTACCTTCGTCTTCAAAGTTCTTCACAACATGCACCCCTTTCTCTTCCATGAATTGTGCCAACTCCTTCTCACGATCCACAAGAGGGTCCTCACCGTTCCCACTCACCAATACTCTCCACCCAAATTCCCTCACCTTATCCAATTTCTGAATACCATTCCCAGACCTTGGATTGCAATATTCATGATCACGATCAGCCCCAATTGGCAGTGCCAATTCCCACATCAAATCAGTGACACACAGTGGAATAACTGGGTTATTCTGAAGTTTCAACTCTGATTCAGTCCTTTGGGTGCCCCCAAAAAATGCTTGACGCAATATTAATCCTTGGATCTTCAGTGGCTCAAGATCATTCACCTCTTCCAATGCACGTAGACCTGCAAAGAAATTTTTTTATCACTCATTTCGTCCACTAAAAGTATAACAAAATGTTTTATTCTTAATAGATTTTGTTACTTTAAATTAACTTCAGGATTAATGTTAACATAATTAAAAGAAAATATTATTAAATGATGAAATAAATTTAAAAATATTATTAATATACTTAAATTTAAAATATAAAAATTAATATATTTTAAGTAATTTAAAATATTTAATAGTTTCACAGCATTCATCCATAAGACCCATATTAATCAATATTTTTAGTTTATATGTTAAAAATTTAAAAACCAAACACATCTATCAAAACAATATTACTAGTGTAATTTTTATTTATTCATTAAGTAAAACTTATCTATAAAGATTGAACAAAAAGTTTGTCTAAATTATCACATGAAATGTATAACTTTATCTTAAATAAATTAATACAATTAAAAATTGATTTTTATTTAATTTTTAATAAATATATTTTATTAATTCATCTATAAAAAAATTTTAAAAATTCCAAAAGTCATCCTTAATGATTTTTCAAAAGGTTATTAAAAAATTTTAAAGTACCAAACATCGTTAAAGATAATTTTCAAAAAATCATAAAAAAGCCGTCAAGCATGTGCATTCACCTGCATGGTAGGCGATAGTGGCTCCAGCACTATTCCCCAAAACATAAGACTTGGAATAATCAACATATTGTGTTAGCCACTCCTCATCGCTGCTTCTGATCCAACGCAAAGCTTCCATCGCATCATCGTACGCCGCCGGCAACCGGTGCTCCGGCGCAAGGCGGTAGTCAACGGAGGCAACAATGGCTTCAACAGTTTCGGCCATTTGCACACAAAAATCATGGAACATGGTGGTAGATGCACTGTAAAGAATGAAACCACTGCCATGAAAGAAAACAACGAGAGGTAGCTTCTTGTGGTTGGAAGATAATGCAATTTTGGGTAGGAATAAGCGAACCCAAGTGTTGTTTGATTGGTTAATTGTGAGGTCTTTGGAGAAAACCGAGATTGGAAGAGTGGTGTCTGAGAAGGGTGATGTGTGCGGAGTAGTGTCTTGCAAACGAGTCAAAGTGCCATCGTCGTTGCGTTGGAATTGAAGATAGTGGAGAGGATTAATGGTTTCAGATTGTGGGGTGCTTTCATTGGACACGGTGGAGTTAAGGGTCTTTTGTATTTCGTTTTTGATTTTATGAAATTTTTCTTTGCTTCAATGGGGTTTATGTAAGGAGTTAACAAGAATAATTTTATTCATTTCTTTAATATTCATTCAATGCTACATGTAAAAATATTATAAATTTATTGTTCTGTTTAATGTTCATGTGCACCGACCAAAGTTCTATTTAATTTTTGTGAGACAGCTGTTGTATTGATCGGCACTCCTTGATTACACTTCTTTTTTTTTTTGGTTTTTTTATCCCTCTTGGTATGAGCCGTTGCTTTTATATATATATTATGCATACAAAAATTTTAAGATAATTTATTTAACAATTTTTTTTTAGTAAGAACAGATTGCAAAGTAGCACCTTCTGTTTTACAAAAAAACGTACAGAATATAGTTTCAAAACATATTTTTGCTAGATGGCAAGCTTTATTATTAAATTTCGATTTTGATATACAACATATAAAAGGAGAAAATATTTTTCTACCAGATTATTTAACAAGAGAGTTTTTATAGGACCATGTCAAAAATGACTAGTGCTGACTATGCATTACCAAAAAAGAGTGAACTAGAGATTCTAAAAACCCCTACCAGAGACAAAGGTAAAAAATCTATGACCTGTTTACAAGTTCTACAAGCCTAAGCCCAAAATAAACAATCAGAGTTATTAAAATAATATACAGTTTTGCCTAAACTATGTCAAAGCTCTCAGATAACCACACAGACCAGAAAATTGCTTTCATGGGCAGAGTCCACTTATAAAAGACCTACAATAACTGACAAAATTTTAGAATACTATGAAAACCATATGATCTTCTAGTAATAGAGATAGAAGCAGAATGATTTAAACTAATTGTTATGAAATAACAAGAAGTGTATTTTCCTCTAATTGTCATGTGGTTCCATCTTCAGCAGAACAAAAAAAAGAATTTTATGAATTAATTTTTATTGATTCAAAATCAATAGAATTAACTCATAAAAGAAATAAATAGAAAGAAATTATTTTTTCAAAATTCAAAATCTGTCAAATATTCACTCTTAAAGAGTGGGGACAACATTTATATTATTATCGTAAATTTACGATAGATTATCAGCCTACACAATATAATTACTTTGATTATATAAAAGCATGGAAGAAATTTTTATTTTTTCGACCAGACACCCATTCCTGGTTCATTTGGTTCCGGAAAGGGATTTCTCTACACTTTCCAAAATGGTTTTCAGCCTGGTTTCACAATTTTGGACCAGTTAGACAAATATTACCAGAAAGAGCCCAAATAGCCTTAGCCCATTTTAAAGAAAAAGCCAATTTCCAAGAACCATATAAATTTATTTCTTTTATAACCTCTCAAGGAATATCATGGATCATGATGTGGCAGTATGATTCTTTAACGTGACATGTGATATTTTAAACTTATATTGAATTTTTCTTGTGTGGTTTTTCTGGTCAATTTGGATTTTCACTCTAAGCATCCGAGGCTCTATTTTTGCTTGTATGCATGAAAAACGATTAAGTCATTAATTGTTTTTGTGTTTAGTTAGCAAGTTATGTTAGATTATTATTATTATGGATTAACATAATCAATTATTTATAATTTATAATATCAATTATATTATTATTATTATTATTATTATTATTATTATTATTATTATTATTATTATTGTTTAATTATATTTTATTTATTGACTAATTGATGGATAATATTACTTTGGGTTATTCTTTTAATAAACCGTGATGGGTCGGATTATTTAATAAGCCCATTGAGAGGTCCCTGGTCTCATCTGGAAAGTTTGTTATATGCTATCTCATTAGGCACTAACCCATACACACGATCAATTTTGTAACTTCTGATAACTTCCCAGACAGAGAGCAGAACACTCTCATCTCTTACGATTATCCTCTCATCTTTTTGTATACCAAAGACACATCAAATTCGAGATGGATGAATGATTGGTTCCGGGTATGTAATCTTAAACTAAAAACTAATTATAATTCGTATCTTGAATTGTTCATTGTTTAAAATTTTTCGGGTATGTAATCTTAAACTAAAAGCCAATTTAATGCATCTTATAATTCGTATCTTTAATTACTCATTGTTTAAAATTTCAACAATTGGTATCAGAGCCAGGTTAAGGTATGAATTATAGTTGCTTCTATGTATTCTGTAATTTGTTTGAAATCCTAACCAAAAGTTTCTCTTAAATTCTTGATAATGGAATAGTATGAAAAATTGATTTGAGTTTTTTTTATGAACATAAACACAGTCGTAATCCCTTTCAGATAAGAGATATAAAATTTCTACGAACTTAATTTGGAGATTTGTGCCTTTCGTTAATGATCAATCTTTTGTCAGATTTAATTCTGGTAATTAAAATTTTTTACGTCGATATTGAATCTTGCTTCCATTGAAGATAAATTTTCTTTCCGCTGAAACCCTTTAAAAAAATTTAGAATGTTATTAATATCGATTAGTATGGAAAAATTGAAAACTGCACTATTGCCACCTGTCCATAAATCTTGAAGCAATCATTGGTTTTATTGGCATATAAAGAAGTGCCGTGGGTAAGAATCTCCATAAACATTAATGTTATGTCAAATAAAGACGAAAAAAAATATAAAAGTTCATAAAATAGAATTAAAATTAAAATAGAAATAAAATTCAAAGTGGAATAATATGTTGTTGCTATATAGAATCTTGTGTTCTGGCTAGTAATTCTCCTGGAAACCATTGACTCTCGTTCCTATGAGACTTTCTTTAATTCGAATGAATTCTAATCCTTTTATAATTATCTAGTTTACATCTTCTATTAATTTGATATTTTTTTCAGATTTTAAAATATTGCAAATATTTATTATTATTAATTAATTAAAATTTTAAATTGATTAATTTATGTTGTATTCTTAGCATTTGGGTCTGAAATTTTGTGCATGATATTCATCTTGTATCTGACATTATTATGTTATGTAATCTTTTTGTCGGCATGTTGTACAAGAAATTTAATTTGTTGGATCCTTATAAGTATTGAAGCATGACTATTGATAATAATTAATGTACACTTTTACGGCATCACAAATTTTCATGATATTTAGACATGATAATTATTGTCATTTTGTGTAATTTTGGTCCACCTATCGTGGATTACAATTATATGGAATATATTTAAAATATATGGTTTATCTCATCATAAATTTAATGGTGCATTATTAATAATTATATCCTATCGATATATTATTATTGATGTGATTGACATGTAAATACAATGCATTTCTATTTTGCTTGTTTCAATTATTTTCTAATATCCTATTGATGTTAGTTTTCTAGTGTCATAAGCCTGTGTGTTATATTGTTATAAAATTTCTTATTTATTATAGTTCAGGACCCTTAGGCAAAACTATAACAATTGAGAAATTTTACTATTAAGGCATATTCTAGTTGTGAATACAGGATCATTTAACTCTCTTCTGCATGACTGATCGTGCATATTAAATGATTCCTTATCTTGTTTAATTCTAGCCTCTTTGCCTATGCAATTGACTTCGGTCAAAACACTAAATGGGATAAACTATGAGGATTGGAAAGAGTCCTTGGATCTCTACCTTGCTATCACCAACATGGACTTAGCCCTAAGAGAAAATGAGCCTCTAGCTCTCACTGTTGAATCCACTGCTGCCCAAAAGACCTCGCGAGAGAAGTGAGAACACTCTAATAGGGTCTGTCTCATGGTCATGAAGTATATCATGGAGAAGTCTATCAGACAGAGTATCCAAGAAAGCAATAATGCTAAAGATTTTCTAAAATCTGTTAGGAGATAAATTTCAAACCTATGACAAAGCAGTAAAAGGTCAGTACTTATCTTTACTTGAGAAGACCATGTATGATGGTGTCAGTGGAGTAAGTGAGCATATGATGAAGCAGATCCATTATTATAACAAACTGAAAGCACTGAAAGTGAATCTTGGTGATGACTATTTAATTTGGAAGATTCTGGATTCTCTCCCCTCTCAGTTTGACATGTTGAAAACATCCTACCATGCATATAAGCAGCTAAAATGGAAGATAGATGACGTGATTGCCATTGTTACTCAAGAAGAAGAAAATATGAAGAAGACTAAGTCTCACACTATTTAGTTTGCTACTTCCTCTTTTGGTGCTAAGAATAAGACAAAAAGAGGTTATAAGGGAAAGCCTCGTTTTGAAACTTATGTTGAGAAGGATAAAAAGGGGAAAACACCTGTCAATTTGGGACCCAAGAAGAATTCCTTTAAAGGGAGTTATAAATACTGCAAGAAGTATGGTTACAAGGTGGGTGATTATTTTTTCCTAAAGAAGAAACTTGAGAAACAAGGTATACCTCTAGCTTTAGCATGTTTTGAATCTAATACCATTGATATTCCTCCCCATTCTTGGTGGCTAGACTCGGGTGCCACTATTCATGTTATGAATTCTTTACAGGGATTCACAAGCCTGAGAAAGCCAAATGATGCAGAATCCAAGATTATCATGGGAGATAGAGCTAAAGCAGCTGTGAAAGACATAAGAGTAGTTTCTTTATGTTTACCTTCTGGACATGTTTTGGTGTTAAAGGATGTTGTTTATGTACCTTTCATTAGAAGGAATTTGATTTCAGTTTCTACCTTGGATAAGGACGGTTATTCTTTTACTTTTAGTAATGAAAAACTAGTTGTTTCTTTCAATTTCATTGTTGTCGCTTCTGGAGTTCTTTGTGATGGGCTATATATGTTAACCTTGAGTAACATGATTGCTAATTCTGTTATTAGACAAAAACGTGGTAGGATTGATGAGAACTCTTCTATGTTATGGCATAGACGTTTAGGGCATATTTCTAAGCTTCGAATTCAAAGATTAATCAAAGAAAGCATTCTTCATAATCTATACTTTTTTGATTTTGACACTTGTATTAATTGCATAAAAGGCAAATTCTCTGCCAAAGTCAGAAATAAAACTTCTGGCAGGTGTGATGGTATGTTACAGTTGATTCACACTGATATGTTTGAGCCTATGACACCTGCTACTTTGGGTGGATATAGGTACTTTATCACATTTATTGATGATTTCTCCAGGTTTGGATGGATAGAACTCCTTTAGGAGAAATCTGGATCTCTAAATGCCTTCGAATCTTTTAAAGCTGCTATTGAATTGAAAACGGGAAAGAAGATCAAATGTGTAAAGTTTGACAGATGAGGAGAATATTATGGAAGATATGATGAAACAGGTAGAAACCCTAGACTTTTTGCAAGATATCTTGAAGAATGTGGCATTGAAGTCCAATATACTATGTCAGGCACACCTGAGCAAAATGGAGTTGCAGAGAGAAGGAATAGGACACTTCTTGACATGGTGAGATGTATGTTGAGCCATTCCTCTGTACTAGTCTTTCTTTAGGGAGATGCCTTAAGGATTGCTGTGTACATTCTCAATCAAGTACCCAGCAAATCTGTACCTAAGACTCCTTATGAGCTCATGACTGGAAAGAAGCCGACCTTGAAGCATATACATGTATGAGGTTGTAAGGCAGAGATAAGACCTTATAATCCTCAGTTGAAGAAGCTTGATCCAAAAACTATCAGTGGTTTTTTCATTGGCTATTGCATTGGTTCTCGTGGCAGCAGATTCTATTGTCCTTCTCACTCTACTCGAGTTATTGAATCCGATCGTGCTGTATTCTTTGAAGATGTCTTGGATAGTGGGAGTCCAACAACACAGCCAATCATCCTTAGGGAGGACAGGGTTACAATTCTTATGTCATCAAATATTGTCGTTCCTATTGTTCTTGATCAAAATCTTCAAGACGAAGATATAGTAGCTCCTTTCATGAATGAACAGGAACAAGATGACCTTGTTGAAGAGGTTCCTTTGAGAAGATCTCAAAGAGCACGTAGGTCTTCAATACTTGATGATTACATTGTTTATCTTCAGGAACATGAATTCAATTTCAATGATGTTGATGATCCCATTTCTTTTGAAGAGGCCATCTCTTGCATGATGAATTAGCCTCTATGGCACAAAATGGTGTTTGGAATCTTGTTGAGTTACCAGTTGGTTGCAAGCCAGTTGGATGCAAATGGGTCTTTAAGACCAAACGTAATCCAAATGGTGAAATTGAAAGGTACAAAGCTAGACTAGTAGCCAAAGGCTATAGTCAGAGGGAGGGCATTGACTATAAAGAAACTTTCTCATCGGTATCTACTAAAGATGCTTTTCAAGTTGTTATGGCTTTGGTGGCGCACTTTGATTTAGAACTTCACCAGATGGATGTGAAAATAACATTCTTGAATGGAGATTTACATGAAAATGTCTATATGGTTTAGCTTGATGGCTTTACTGAAATTGGCAAAGAACACTTAGTTTGCAAACTTAAGAAATCCATTTATGGATTGAAGGAGACATCTAGACAATGGTACTTAAAATTTGATCAGGTGGTCAATTCCCTTGGTTTCAAGGAAAATGCTTTAGATCAATGTATTTATCTGAAAACTAGTGGGAGCAATTTCATCATTCTTGTGCTTTGTGTTGATGATATTCTTTTGGCAAGTAGTTGTGTTAAACTTTTGACTGAGACAAAGTCGATGTTGACTAACCACTTTGATATGAATGACCTAGGTGATGCCTCTATTGTTCTAGGCATACAAATTTATCGTGATAGGTCACGTGGTGTCCTTGGATTGTCTCAGAAAGGATACATTGATAGAATCCTCAAACGGTTTAACATGCATTCTTGTTCCTCATGTGCTGCACCTGTTCAAAAGGAGGACAAACTTTCTAAATCTCAATGTCCTCAAAATGATAATGAAAGAGCTGAAATGAAGAAAGTCTCATATGCTTCCGCTATTGGCAGTTTAATGTATGCTCAAGTTTGCACTCGTCCTGATATTGCTTTTGTTATCAATGCTTTAGGAAGATACTTGAGCAACCCAGGTTTGGGTCATTGGAGAGCCGCAAAGAAGGTCATGAGGTACTTGTAGGACACAAAAGATCACATGTTGACCTATAAGAAGTTTGATCAACTTCAGGTCACTGGTTATTCTGATTCTGATTTTGCAGGTTGTCCTGATGATCGAAAATCTACATCCCGCTGTATCTTCATGATGGAAGGAGAAGCTATTTCTTAGAAAAGTGTAAAACAGACTCTTACAGCTACCTGTACCATGGAAGCAGAATATATCGCTTGCTACGAAGCTACTTGCCAAGCCATGTGGCTCAAGAACTTGATTTCTGGACTCCAAGTCATTGAGAGTATATCTAGGCCACTTGTGCTATATTACGATAATTCTTCTGTTGTACACTTCTCTCAAAACAACAAAAGCTCCTCTCGTACAAAGCACTTTGACATAAAATATCTATTTGTTAGAGAGAAGGTTTCAGAATTTCAGACTAAGATGGTGCACATCTCCACAGAGAAGATGTTGGCTGATCCACTAACCAAAGGCTTAAATGTTAGAATCTTCAAAAATCATGTAGCCCACATGGGTGTAGTTGAATCTTTTGATGTTTTGGGTTAGTGGGAGTTTGAAATTTTTTTCTTCTACTTTAATCATTGTGAGGTATATTTGAGACGACGCTATTTTATTATCATATCTCATATATAGCATTTCTAAATGCTTAGGTCATTCTTTGGAATTGCATTTTAAATTGAATAAAATGTTATGCATTACTTTATATCCATCACCCTTTATATGAAGTATAAGTACGTCACACATATATGATATTCCTATCGGATATTTTATTTACACTTTCATGACTTATATTTTCTGCAGTTTTGGTGAAATAATATTCATATTATGTCATCCAAGTGGGAAATTGTTAGATTATTATTATTATTATTATTATTATGGATTGACATAATCAATTATTTATAATTTATAATATCAATTATTATTATTATTATATTATTATTATTATTATTATTATTGTTTAATTATATTTTATTTATTGACCAATTGATGGATAATATTACTTCGGGTTATTCTTTTAATAAACCGTGATGGGTTGGATTATTTAATAAGCCCATTGAGAGGTCCCTGGTCTCATCTGGGAAGTTGGTTATATGTCATTCTATCAGGCACTAACTCATACACACGATCAATTTTGTAACTTCTAATAACTTTCCAGACAGATAGCAGAACACTCTCATCTCTTATGATTATCCTCTCATCTTTTTGTATACCAGAGACACATCAAATTCGAGATAGATTATGTAATCTTAAACTAAAAACCAATTTAATGCATCTTATAATTCGTATCTTGAATTGCTCATTGTTTAAAATTTCAACAAGTTAGCCAAGTCAACCCATTAAAAGCCCTAATGATTTTGGGTATACAAGTGATTGGGGCAGAGGAGATCAAAAGTAAGGTCAAGTTTACGATAGTGAAACATTATGCTTTAAATACTTGAGAGATTGAATGCAATACTTTATTCGGTGAGTGGTTTGAGGTTAAGTTCAACAAAATACATTCATCATATCCATGCTTTGAAGGTGCATTGGTTTCACTCTCTCAGCATGATTTGGATTTGAATGCAATGGTTTTGGATATATGAAAAGGAAAACGTATTATTAGCTTCATTTGCTTGTTGAATTAAATTAATATTTTTGTTTGATTGAAGACGAACAAAATCTAGAGTTTGGAGTGGTGATAATTCTATATTTAGTTTATTTCTTAAAGAACAAATTTTCATCTCCTTTTATAAATAATGAAATTTGT